CACACACACACACACACACACACACACACACACACACACACACACACACACACACACACACACACACACACACACACACACACACACACACACACACGCATGCAGCACGCACTCAAGCACGCTCGCACGGACGCAAACACTCACGCACACGCGTGAAGACACACCAGCCTGCGGCAACGCGAACTGCTTGCCATCCCACCATCCACACCAGGCATATCTTTTGCCATACGTGCATCATCGCATGCATCAAGGCAACCCGGAAGTGCCCCAGCTGCCGCAAGTCTTTGCAGGTGTGCCGCACACTGCAGGGTGCATGGCGGGACCGTCAGGGCGACCAGACGCACCCTTGCACCCCCAGGCCGTAAAGAGGGAGTGCGGGTAAGGGGAAAGCAACAGGCCGCGGCAAACGGCATCAAAACCTCCAAGACTGTGCACCGCCCTTGCAACGCGTGCTGACGTGGCAGGTGAAGAGCGTCCACAAGATCTACCTGCCCCCCTCCTGAGAGCCCACAGCTGCTGCTGCGGCGGCCTGCCGCTAGTGCTGGCCCCGGCGCCTGCGGGGCTGCGTCCCTTTCACCCGGACCCCTTCATTCTTGTGGATCGCACGCTGGTGGCCCCCGCTGCTCCCAGCAGTTGCGCGTACACGGTCCAAGTGCTTTCGCAGGCAGCGCATCTCTGCTCAACATTTTTGTGCTCTTTCTCATTTTCGTAGGAATCAGAAACTTCAAGACGGCATGCGCCAGCTCCAGCTGGCTCCCGAAATGAGTGGTGCCCGCAGCTTGGCCGCCTGCCGGTGCAACTGCGCCTGCCGGTTTGCCGCTGCAGCTGCGCCTTGCAGTGTTGGATTCGCACCGCACGCTCCACCGCTGGGCTCCAATTTGACCTGACCTCTGCCTGTAGGTAATGCACACGGCCACGCGGCCGCATTACGGCTCAAACCCAGCACCAGGTGCGCACGCGCAGGACCACTGCAAAGTCCCACGAGCATTCTGCCGTCCCTTTTACTGGGTCCTTTCTTGGCAGCACTCGATTGTACCAAAACAATGTAATGAATGCACCAAAATTGATTGGCAGTCGTTACACATATCACTAACTTGCTAGGCAGCAGCCAGCATGCCCCCCAAGGCCGCTGCTCGTAGGGCCAATATATGGCCCCCTCCTGGCGGCCCCGCGCACGCACCATGTGCGCACGAAATCGCGCCAGGTGCAAGCGCCCGCGATCCGAGAGTGCCGCGCACCGGCGTGCGCCGCGCTCGCTTCAGAGCTGTCCGTAGGGAGTCCTGCACCCAGGACCCCGCACAGACCCGGGGCTGCCCTGCAGCAGCATCACCGCCGCCGAGCGCGCCCGCCACCTCAGCAGACCGCGGGCAGCAAAGGCGCACGTTCAGCGAGAATAATCCGGCCCGACGCGCCGCAGCGCCCCGGAGGAGACCCCCCACCCCGGGCCGCGCGCTCAGGCGGCCACGGGCTGCTTCTCCTTGGCGGCGGCGTTGTTGCTGGCCGCGGGCGCGTGCGCGTCGAGGTGTGCGCCCTTGAAGAGCTCGTCGAGGACCTCGCTCAGGGTGGGGTGGGCGTGGACGTTGAACTTGATGTCCTGGGGGGTGGTCGGGTGGGTGGCCGGGTGGGTGGGTGGTCGGGTGGGTGGTCAGGGGCTCAGTCGTCACGGTGGGTGTTTCAGGTGGTGGAGTGGGGTGCTGGGTCGTTGCGTGGGGTGCTGAATGGTTGTCATATCGGGTGATATAGATAGCCGGGCGCTGCGCGAGCGGACAGACCCGACCATGGCGCCGCGACGCGCGATTGCGCCCCCCTCGTCCGCCGCAGTACGCCACGCGACAGCCCCCTTCAAGCCTGCAAGCGCACGCGGGCCCCCGGCCCGGGCTCTGACCTGCACGGTCTGTCCGGTGGCGATGGCGTTGGATGCCTCGTGGATGAGGTCCGCCGCGTGGAGGCCGAAGATGTGGACGCCCAGGATCTCTCCCGTGTCCTTGCGGTACAGCATCTTGGCCATGCCGTCGCCCTCCTTCTCCGCCAGGGCCTGGTTTCAGGGTTGGAGGGATGTCAAGGG